TGCTGCCCAGGTTGATTGACATTGAGACAGATTGCTAACCAGTAATTCCTAGTAGTACATGGGGGCCACGCCAAGGTTGGCCAGGTGAAAGACGGAGCATTAACAATCTTAGCTTTCAGCGCTTAGTAGTGCTTATTTATCTACAAGGGTTTTGAATGGGGGCCAAGGAATGCCACACACTCAAACACACACGTTCAATGTTATCTATCTCCTGTTGGTGAAGCTGGTCTATTTGCTGGTAAATAATGACTAGGCCATACTTCAATTAGTAACATATTCGATATTCTGGGTCATTCCACTACACTGTGATGTCTGCGCTAGTGACCGATTAAATAAAAAAGAAACAGGTTTCAACTTCGAGTATTCACTCGAGTAATCATCCGAGCATAATAGGTACAGATGATCTCCACGTACTAGCAAGTACCACGTCCATCTCAACCTAATCTCATCTCATCACCTCCCACTTAGCCTTGCGCCAATTGTACCCAGCTCTGCCAATGGATCTACTGCCCCAAATGCAGTAAAATATAATACACCATGCAGCCCGCGGACCCATGACACTTTTCGAAAGCCTCCTCTCTTAACTTCTTGGCTTTTTCCTCCTCGGCCTTTTTCTCCTCGGGAGTTAGCTTTTTAGTCTCAGTCCCTGAAGAAGATTTTCAGCTTTCGTTAGCTTCGCAGAAATATAGTTAGAGAAGCAGGGAGCAATGAATAGAATAGCACATACTTGCTGCGATAGTGTCGCTCTCTCGTTTCATCTGCATTGCGGATTCGTCGGTAGTCTGTTCATTTTCTTCGCCTTCACGGCAAGACTGGAGATGATTGGGTTAGATTTAAGCAATACCGAAGTTAACGGGGGTCATTAGCACTCACCTGACAGTCTGGGACGCCTTCATAAGGGAGTGAGGCTGGACTGACATCCCCCTGACCGGTAGGGACTTGCGTGTTGGTTGGTGCCACAGAGACTGATGCCGGGTCAGGAACGCTCGCGGGGATAACAGCTGCTGAGACCCTAGATGCCAAGAGCAAAGAAGCTAGAACAAAGACCTTTTGCACAGTGATCTGTCTGGACCACATTTTGACAATGGATGTGTTGATGATGACAATTTAACGATTGATGATTGCAATGATAAAGAGTAACGAGTGGGCTTGTGCAGTAGTAAAGGAGAGTGGGAGCAATGATAGCAACAACGGACAAACACGGTGATTTTAAATGAATGATGGTCCAGTGATAGCAGCAATGAGGAGGGCATGACAGGGCTATATATAATTACCTTGACCTCCTAGTATATAGAACTAGCAAGATACTTCATGTAGTAGCTCTAGGACAGTAGTAATGGGGCGGTTTCAGGAACCACCAGGGTACAAAATTGCACCGACTACTTACCGCGACATTGAAGGTGCACATCGAGTATGAGCAGGACTTGGGGGCCAGCATGTTTCCTCCAGTGCAGGACATGAAGCCAATGTAATCCGTTGACTTCTGGTAATTTGGCCCCCGACCGTGGAAGCCTAGCACCCAGAACTGCGTTATTTTCGCTGGAACAGAAGTACTGTTGCACCGAAGGGGCGGCGACTGAGTCAAACGGACAGGGATTGTGATGACAAGGCTGATCCAGAAGCAGCCGACAGACCTTGTAAACCCTGATCAAGAATCATCTCGCGGGTCTCATCTTCAGTCCTTTCAATTTAGAGTTTGTAACGTTCCTGTTACCTTGTTTCACAATAGTAGTACTATTAGCGAACGAAAATATATACAAGGTTTATGGTGCCAGCTGAGAAAGAGAAGCTCGGACAACTTTCCTAGTACCATGTAGGATGAGATACACATTACTAGTGGGTAGCAGCAAGGCTGGGGCGAAAATAACTAGCGACTTTCCACCCATCTACCTACTATGTACGCCGCACGTACTTGGAGTCTAATTAGGATGAACTCCGTGCATTGCTCAGCCTCTCTCACAAGACCCACCCTCGATGGACCCGACGGGTTGTCCCACCATCATGATACTAGACACAGCCAGCATTCTCAGGAGACACTCGAGAGAGCTAGTACAGATCCTATATCTTTATGGTAGAGGCTGATTGGTGGCAGTGTGGTGTCAAAGGCCGATCTCCTGGGGGTCTTTCTCCTGACATCCGGGGTAGAAGAGCGGGGCGGGAAGATCACTTAGCCGCCAAGTATCCGTCGCCAACCGTTAAAACCAAGAAGTTAAGGTCTTTAGTTCATGGTATAGCAGCGTCATGAAACCCAGATCCGCACCCTCAATTGCGGGTAATCAGCCGCAGAGTCTAGTAGTGCTACCGGGCATAGTTCGCACCAGGGAGCTGTGGTCTGTGAACTCTGTACTGGAATTTGCCATTCTCCGCATCATTCCATTTTAACCGATTGCAGCAGCCTCGGCTGCTTTTCACAGCAAACAGTAACCATTACCAGCCATGAAGGAAGCACTCTCTTACATATCTGCAGATTCTTGTTCTCTCAATGATCTGTTTGTTTGCTGGCCTCTACAAAAGACCCAAGGGTGGTTAGTAGAGTATTTTATAGCAAACTAGTTGTGAAGTACTCACATGTTTTCATTCAAGAGCCAGAGGGTAATTAGGGTAATCGCCTCACTCAGACACTGGTTTACACCTGTGGTGCAGCTTCATTGATACTTGTAGAATCTTGTCCGTAGAGCCAAATAGAATTTATTCGAACGTATTTATGTCACAAATGGATTCAAGCATTGCCAGCAAGTGCCCTTCTACCGATTTGCATTATCGCATTTGCACATCCTGCAAGAACTTGGATCTTTTATATCAAGACTATTTCTGCCAATTGTCCATCGTCTGCTGGCTCTTATAGAAACAAAATGGACAAAAACATGTGTGACAGGTTGATGTTCTAATACTTAGTTATGCGGCCTCGCCTAGTAAAATCACCTTTTGGCAGTATCACTGGCTTATCCATTGAATCTCATTCTTCCTTTACTTTCTGCCGGAGCTTGATAAGAGAAGTACGAGCCCTAGAAGCTGTTGAAGACAATGGGAAAGATCTTTTAGCCTCAGTATACATCTCCTGTGCCCTGAAGCGATTGGCATCCAGAGCACTCCGGAGTTTGAGGGGCAGCCCCACCGATAAGGGCCCGGGCGGTTATCGGCGGCGTCTCCGGTGAGAGACTCCATGACTCTCTCTCTCTCTCTCTGTGTGTCTGACTCTTACACTTCTCCTCTCTTTTCTCTTCCTCTCTTTCTCGCTCTTTCTCTCTTCCATTCTTCCACTCCCTCCTCCTACCTATACTTCTCTGTGGCTCCCCTGCTCTATCTCTAGAGTAGACTAACACACCATCCCCGCCTCCCCAAGATCGCAAACCCCGCCATAAATATGGCTGCCACGGAGCTGAGTCAAGAGCAGCTGGACCAGATCTATGCCTTTGCGGTCGATCTGGGCCGGAAGGCCGGTCAACTTCTGATGGAAAGTGTTGAGAAGCGCATCGACGGCGGAGCCACCCAGGAAGCTGAGGAGAAGGACAGCGCCGTCGACATTGTCACCCAGACCGATGAAGGTATGCTCTAACCCGCCCTCAGCCTGCCATCGACTTGCATCTCACCACTGGACTGCCCTGCACAGAAGTAGAAGTATTTATTAAGAACGCAATCCAATCCAAATACCCCACACATAAGTAAGTCCCTGAGTCATTCCCCAGTTCACAAGCATTCCCCAGCTGACCCATTCAGATTCCTCGGCGAAGAGTCCTACGCCAAAGGACAGTCGCGCGACTACCTGATCGACGAGCACCCAACATGGTGCATTGATCCCCTAGATGGTAATAGCCATAGCCATACACACTCCCTGTCATCGTGACATGAAATAACTCCCCTCACCTGAGCAGGAACTGTCAACTTCACACATATTTTCCCCATGTTCTGCGTCTCCATAGGTTTCATCGTCAACCACCGTCCCATCATCGGCGTGATCTACGCTCCTTTCCAGGATCAACTTTTCTCATCCTGTCTGAACCGCGGCGCATGGTTAAACGAAAAGCGCCGTCTCCCGCTCATCCGCAATCCGACCATCCCACCCATGCCGCCCAATGCTCCCAGCAAGTGCATTCTATCCTGCGAATGGGGCAAGGACCGTCGCGACATCCCCGACGGGAACCTGCATCGCAAGATTGAGAGTTTTGTGAACCTAGCAGCAGAACTGGGTAGTCGCGGTGGCAAGGGAGGTATGGTGCACGGAGTTAGGAGTCTGGGAAGCGCTACGTTAGATTTGGCGTATACGGCTATGGGGTCATTTGATATCTGGTGGGAGGGTGGTTGTTGGGAGTGGTACGTTCCTTTCGCCCTGAATCTTTCCCATCTTTCAACGTTATGTTTGGCTAATCCGAGTGTGGTGGGTAGGGACGTCGCAGCGGGTATCGCCATTCTCTTGGAGGCAGGCGGCCTGGTCACAACCGCCAATCCCCCGGAGGACCCGGACACTGCGCCCATTGAAGATGTTCGACTCGGCAGCCGACTCTACCTTGCCATTAGGTATGTGACACTCATTTTCTGCCTTGTGGCTTAGTACGGCATCTAACTGTAATAGACCGGCTGGTCCGTCGGCGACAGAGACCGGACGCCAGACGCAGGAGCGCACTGTGCGCGAAGTGTGGAAGCGCGTGCGGCAGCTGGAATATACCCGGCCGGGCGCGTGAGCACCTCGGCTATAGATATACACCGTTATATACTACTGATAGAATATCCATAATAGTTACTATACAGGACAGAAGCGACAAGAAGGAAAGGGATGAAGACATCATATTGCACTATATACAGCAGCCAGATCCGCGTATGTACCTAATCAAACACACGTCATATCTATCATCGGGCTCTCTTCACTGAGCCCCGTTCCGTTATTTTTGGTCTTCCATAACAATCAATGCACCGGGTATGCGAGAGTCTATACAGGAGTGAATCATCATGAAACATGTCGGATGTTGAAGGAATAATAAAGAAGGAGGCGAAAGGAAGAAGCTTTACAGAGTAGCCTTCTGCCTCTCAGCCAAATTCTTGGCCACAAGCTCCTTGACCATATCCAACAAGCCAGGAACAGCCACCACATCCTTTCCAGTCCAAAGCTTGGCCTGCTCCAGACCCTGCCAGAGCAGCGCCTCCGAGCCAACGATAACCTTCCACCCGGCGGCATCAGCCAACTCGGCAATCTCGGTCCAGATAACAGGGTGGTAGCACATCTCCAGAATAACGCCCTTGGGCTTGCCATCCTCCTTGGCGCCCAACAACGCCGTCAGGACATTCCTGGCACGAATCTCCTCCTCGGTCTTAGGCGGGTAGTTGGGGATACCCGAGACAATAGCAGCGGGGCTCTCCAGGGTCTTCGCAACCTCGGGATCCGTAACGTGAATCAAGGGCGCCTTGTCCGCGGACGGATTGCGCTGCTGATCCTCCTCCATGATAGCCTGAACCTCACCAGCATCACGGTTCACAATGTAGATCTTGCTGGCGCCGAGCCACTTGCGCATGACATAGATGGCGGAGCGAGCGGTACCACCACCACCGACAACGAGGGCAGGCTTGCCAGCGAACCGCTCAGCAGCGTTAGCGGTGTTCTGGACGAGGGCTTCGCGAATACCGATGCAGTCGGTGTTGGTACCGACGTAGGAGCGGGAGCCGTCGGCATTGTCGCGCAGGAAGATGGTGTTGCAGGCGCCGGCTTGGCGGGCGTCTTCGGTGAGATCGTCCAGGTGCGGCATGATGGAGACCTTCCAGGGCATGGTGACGGAGGAGCCGACGAATTTAGGGTTGGCGCGGATGGAGGACAGGAAGGTGTCGATGGGCGGGGAGCGTGTGTACGGGGGAGGGTAGGTAGCGGAAGTGCCGCAGACGCTGGAGAGGGGGATCTGAATCCAGTTCAGTCCGAGGTGGTTGTAGATAGCGGCATGGAGGGGAGGAGAGAGGGAGTTGAGGAGGGGGTGGCCGTAGAGGTAGGCGACACCATCCCGGTCCTGGGGGATGGTGATGGGTTCTTCAGGTTGGGTGTTGTTGGAGGATGCCATGTTGGGCGGATTTGTAGTTGAGTTAGTTAGCGATTTGTGGAGGATCGCAAGGAACTGTTGTTTTTATTTTCGGAGAGGAAGAATTGGAGGGAGGGAGGGGGAATTGAGATGGGGAAAGAGAGAGAGAAGTGGGAAATTCAAGGGAATGTTTTAAGGGCCCCGCGAGCCACCGATGGCGGAGAAACGTTCGACGAAGGATGGATGCGGCAGGGTGAACCCTTTCCCGCGCTGAACTTCCGCCGGCCAAGTCCTTTCCCCAGCCTACTAAATCTCGTAGTTCAATCTCCCCCGGAATCCCCCCGAACTCAAAATCACGCGCATCACATTGAACCCATCACCAATGAGGTGCTGATCGGCTAAGTCCACTCCGTATTACTGCTGAGAATGCTCCGATACTGCGGAACAATTGCAATTGTTTGCCCCTGGTTGGAAACTCAACACCCCGCAATCGTAACGCTTGGACTTTTTGGTTCAATATCCCCGGGTCTGACTCCTGACTTCGCCCATTCATACTGCTTCTATTACGGAATTTGAGTTCACAACCATGCACAAGCGCAACGTTAACGCCGACTGCAAAGCATGAGCAAAGAGGTGATGCTGAAAGTGGACTTTTAGAGATCGCAGTCCTTGCACCAGCATGATAATCAATAACAACCCTCTTGGAAAATATCAACGATGCCAATGATGCATACACACACGGAGCACTGCAGAGTTGAGGAAATCAAAACTCTCCACTTAACCTAGGGACCCACAAGTTTCACGCGTGACAAGAACTCCTTGGCACATAATCCGCCGGTAAATGGTTCATCTGCTTCTGCCCCGGGTATTCATCGGACGGGGTGTTCATATCCGGATTATCTGGGGGGAGTCTACTGAATCCTCCCAGTAAATGTGACCTTGCATACATTGGGCAGGTAGTTTAGAATCAAAATCCATCTGGCAGCTATATCATGGATAACTGGTGGGTTACTGCACTTTGGGGCCGACGTACTCCGTACCCACCCCCTAAGTGTGGAGGTAAAAGCCACCTATGAAGCAGTACCACTAGCATGGCAGATATGAGCTTTCTAGGGTGATGGCTTTCGAGGAGGAGTGCAACCTGTTGCGAGCTGGGAATTGATGGATATGATAAAGTCACGTGATTAGTATGCGGTTATCGAACCGGCGATAAACGCGCCGACGATTTTCCCGCCTGATAACGCCACCCTTGCGATAGCCACCGTCTACCAGTTCGTGTCAAGCTCGTCCTCTCCCAGTCACTCTTCCAAGAAGAAATGGTGACAGAGGAACAGTCAGCGCCCCCGCCCGAAGTCGGGATGGGCACGCCCGGCGGTCCGAAGCGGACTCCGCTGACTCCAGAGCAATTGCGGAGAATAGTACACACTATGATCACGGTTCCTCTAGTTCGGAGCTAACACGGTACTGAAATTAGGAAAGCAACCGCCAGAAAGCCATAGCAATACGGGAGCAACGCGAAGCTGAACAGGCTCGGGCTCACAATGCTGACCCTTCATCTACCAAAGGTGTCAAACGAACGTACTCCTCCATGACTGCCTCCGATCCCCCGGCGACTCTGCGCGATGCGGCCTCTACAGATAACCGCCCACTAGATGGCATCAAGCCGGCGCGCAACTTTACCAAATTCGTTGAATATGACTTCTCTAAGATCACCGACACGAAGGGAGGGTTCTTGACCGAAGAAGATGACCGGTTCAACAAAGCCCTTCACGTTCGGGATGAGAAGGCGGAGCAGAAGCCAGCGCACATGACGCAGAAGGAATGGGAGCGACAACAGCTACTGAAGAATCTCCATCGAGATCGAGCGGGAATTTTTGAACCGGGGCTGAGTGTGCTGGATGAGCGGACGCAACAGAAAACATGTCGAGAGTGTGGCAGCTTAGAAATCGACTGGAAATGGGAGGAAGCTTTCCGATGCTGTGTCTGCCATGCTTGCAAGGATAAATTCCCGGACAAATACAGTCTGCTTACCAAGACTGAAGCACGAGAGGACTATCTCTTGACCAATCGTGAGTATCCCCCCCTCTCCTGCACAGGTTTGCGACAGGTGTTGCCACCGAGCATTTTTGCTGATTACGGGACAAACTACAACAGCCGAGCTTCAGGACGAAGAGCTCCTCCCACATCTTGAGCGCCCGAATCCGCATAAATCAACGTGGAATAACATGATGCTGTATCTACGGTACCAGGTCGAAGAATACGCCTTTTCAGCCAAGAAATGGGGTTCGCCGGAAGCATTGGACGCGGAATTCGAGCGACGCGAGAATGAGAAGAAGCGCCGGCGGGAGGTCAAATTCAAGAGCAAACTGGAAGACCTCAAGAAACGTACACGAGTCGACGCATACCGACGAAGCCGTCAAGGAGCAGCCGGTGGTAATTTTGGGGATGACTTGGGAAGTGGTGGACGACATGTACATCAGTGGGGAAGATCGGTGGAAGATCCCAAGACAGGGATTGGGGTCAAGAAATGCGTTGACTGCGGGATGGAAGTCGAAGAACTCGAATTCTAAATCATTAATGAACATATTGCTGTACATGGTACTGTCGTCCTGCTCTCATTTAGTTGTTGCAGATACACTCGGTCGCCGATTACTGCCTCAGGTATTGATTGAAAAGCGCCAAGCGGCGTGCCTCCGCGTACTCTTACCGGACTGGCCCTCCGTAATCTACTGCTTCAGTATTTCTTAGTATCACCGATAATTTAGGCTTTTGGAATAATAGTAGGAGAAGAAGAACCAAATATCCTTGGTGCATATAATCCCGAAAGCATACAAGGATGTCTGAGTGAGAGTCACAAAGATCATCCCGAGTCAATGCCGCTTCGGCCGGGACTATACCGCATCCAGCCGACCCGGGGATCCACCCAGGTCCTTCGAGTTTCCCATCCGGGCAAGGAAGGGCTGTTACATGCGGAGACGAGCAAACAGAATGAATGGTTCGCAGTCTTCGGGGCTGCTTTCCCTCGCAGGCTGCTATGTCAGCGGTTCTTCTTCTTCTCTTTCCTCCTTTTTGTTTCTCCTCCCCTTCCTCTTCTTCCCCAACATACACGGACCCTTCTGCCCACTCTTCATTTGCCTTCGTCCGTTTTTAATTAATTGCATCATCTTTTCCTTGCGTTCTTGGTTGACTACTTCTGAGACTGCAGAGTGTTCATCTGTTTGATGGATGTCATGATGAATGTCATGATGAATGTCATGATGGATGGATGGCATGAACAGTGCCCGGTGATTTCACGCTCGCTGGAATGAATGTGAAGCATTAATGGGAGATGGATTATTCAAATGATGACGATGCATCGACGTCTGCTAACACTCGCTCGTCGCTGAAAAGCAAAAGAAACAACAGGTAGAATCGAATCGAGAATATACAACCAATGACCCCCGCCCCTAGACGTCGGTCTTGAACGATGTTAGGCGCGCCTTGAGTTCCGCCTCCGGCTCATCAATGTCCATCTCTCGAAGAACACCGCTGCCAACATCATATATCAACCCGTGAACCTGAAGACCCCGATCCTGTACGGCTTCCAGGATTACATTCTTCTCCTTCAACAGCTTGACCCCCTCCAGAACATTCAATTCCACCAGCTTAAGGTTGGCTTCGTCGGCCGGCAGCGAGTTCAGCAGATCCAGGTGTCTCGCGCGGAGCTGGCGCAAAGGCAGCAGCCAGGGGTCAAGGATACCCAGTTGTTTGTTACCCAGTGCTGCAGCAACACCACCGCAGCTGGTGTGGCCGCAGAGGACTACGTGCTTGACCTGCAGGTAGCGGACAGCATACTCGATCACGGCTGAAGAGCTGAGGTCGCCGGCATGGATGACATTGGCGATATTGCGGTGAACAAAGACGTCGCCCGGTTTGAGACCAAGAAGGGTGGTCTCAGGGCATCGAGAATCAGAGCAGCCAATCCAGAGGATCTCCGGGTGCTGGCCGACCGCGAGTGTGGGGAAGAGCGAAGGATCCTCCTTGGCAATCTGCGCTGCCCAATCCTTGTTCTGATGCAGAGCAGAGGTGAAGCGATCTGAAGAGGCAATATTAGCACACGCTGGTGGCTTGGTGGCTGAAAAGCAAGCGATTTGTCGATATGGGTTTGTGACTGGGTGGGAAAGAAAACGGCGAGGGGTATGAGGAACACCGGCTCCACAGCCCTTATACAGTTGTCGCGGTCGCAAAGCAAGCCTTGTGGAATTCATCATGGGGTGAAAGGGTTATGGGGAACAAGAAAGAAGGGTTTGCTCAACCGGATAACAGCAAAAACGCAGTCAACGGAGGATGAGTCACTCTGCCTGTGCACGGGGGGTGGGCTTTGGAATCACGGAGCCAAATCCAACAATCACAATCTTGCTCTGGAGGTTTGCATACGCCAAATGAAACCGCGGTACAGGAACAAGGATGCAATGATACATGCAACTTCACAGTGCTCATGGAGTTGGGGAGGGTGGGAAAATCGTGGGTCGCCGCCTCTTTGCGAATTTGTCCAGGAACGTGTCCAGGAACGCCAAGAAAACATGGCTCTTGAGTTTATGCTCACGTACCTGTGCTAGTGGTCGATGCCATGATAGCTGATGCGGGAGAGAAATGATTGAGGGAGGTTTTGCAATGATATTACGGTCGGATAGTTGGATTTGGATGCTATGGAGTAATCTGAGCTGGCAAAGGGGCACTCCTTTCCTTCTCCCCGCCGGAATCCGGGGGAGATTCTCCTGCCACTTCCAGGCCTACAAACAGTGCAAACACCCACCACGTGAGGGTCTCACCGGAGCCCCGAAAGTGCCGTCGGTCATGCTACTCTCTAATCATGCGATCACAGATAAGCGTCGAATAATTGTCTGATCGCTGTTTCTCTATCTCTTCATCGGTTCCACTGCCATTCAAGCCACGACGGAAGCCCGTGGGACTCGCAAACGTCGCATGACACCGCTCGCGATTCTAAGATTTTTTTTCCAGCTAAGACCATCGATATGGCTCAGTACACAGGCAGGCGCGGC